GCTCTTAGAGCTGAAGGTTCACACTCTGTTCCTAGGTGCATTGTTCATGCTCCTAGTTTTGGCAGATAAAGTATTTGAATCTTGTTACCTGAAAGATAAAACCTCTTCCTTTACTGTGACACTTGTTCCAACAGCTATCTGTTTCAAATGGCAGGGAATCCTCAGTAGGCAGATGCCTCATCTTTGGAACTCAGAACTCAATAAAAAAGTTTTCAATTTGGGTTTTATATATTTATTTATTTATTTATTTACACAGATTTTGTAACTAACTTCAGCTCAAACTCTTGCCAGGAACCGGCTTCTTTCCTCAGCGATTATCACTGTATGATGCTTTTATCCACTCTCAGCTGAAAGTTGAATTTGTTTCCCTCTTTAGTACCACTCAGGGCATCCTGTAAGCCTTATATTTTTTTGCCAGGTTCTGCTTCAGGATATGCGTTTGAGGAAAGTGTCATTAAAATTAAACAATTTATGTTGCTGAAAGACCTGGGCTTCAACAGAGCTCAGAGCCTCATGGTGCTCAACAATGGGGGAACCAACGTGTGGCATGGATGCCACAAGTGACACAGGCAGCCTGTGTGTGTGACACACACCAGATTGGGGAGGGGACAGGCAGCACAGTGGCAGATAAGTTAGGGAGCAAAAAACAGCATCAGATCAGGCAGGGAACACAGGGCAGGAAGCAGAAAGCAAAGCAGCAGGCTGGTCAGTGAGAACGGGGCAGAGGCACAAAGCTGAGCAGAAATATTGGGTAGGGGAACGGGATCAAAGTAGCACTCAGGAAGGCTGGGTGAGAGGCTAAGGTGTGGTGCACCTGCCAAAAAGTTTGGCCCCCCACTGCTCTACGCTATACAAACACTATAGTGTTTATAGTAAATAGAGAGTTCCTATCAGAAGAGCTTATAAGCTTGCTAACCAAGACAAAGCGAAAGGGCAGAGAGAAACAGAAGCTTAAAGAGCTAAAGTGCCTTTCTGAGAAGGTCTCAGCATGGCCCTATTCAGTGGACCCTTGACAAGGTTGTTGGGGTTTTTTTTTGCTTTTGGGGCAGAGCATCTGAGTTTTTAAATTGGTCTTAAGTCAATTTGTAAAAAGTTTTTAAACTTGTATATTTTAAAATTGTTGTCCATACACTGGAAGAGGTGCACTTTACAGATACTAATTAATAAATATAAAGAGTTGGAAAGGTTAAAAGTAAGAAAATAAATGTTGGGGGAAAAATGGCATTTTGAGTCTTAGGATCTTCCAGGAAAAGAGAAAAAGAAGCTTTAACTCCCTGTTTATAAGAGCTGAAAGAGCAAAGCTTGGTCACAGTGAACCACAGCCCTATAAAATGCAACATTTATTGAATGCAGCCATAACCCCAGTCAATTTTCTCTCTTCATATGCTGATTCCTATTGGTCTTGCTTTTGAAGATGTGGTCATGCAAGCATTTTTCTTCTTTATTATGTATAATAATAATATTGTGGGTCACACATCAGTGATCTCAGGGTTATTCTGTAAGAAGACCTACTGTGAAGTTGCACTGGAGTTCCACTAGATAAACTCTGAATAAGGACCTTGCTGTTCTCTTTCATAAGAGGGAACTGATAAACATCTAGTTTTTGGAAATTACATTGTGATGTTTGGATTTTGTACTGGTATATTACTCATACACTGTGGTGTGTTATCACATGATACTGTATTTTTCCAAGAAAAAACAAATAAAATGAAAATACTCATTACCATGAACTCTATAAGCGACATATATACAGTGCGATCTCTTATAAGATCTTATTTATTTTAACTTTATTCACTTAGATGAAAAAAAACTAGTTCATTAACTAAATCTTTTTCTTTAAAACATACAAGTTTTTTTTCCTTCACTATACATGTTTTGTTTACTATGTGCCAAACTGTTATTTCACATATGTGAAAAGAAAATTGGCAGTGACCACATATGAAATACACTTCTGGCAGAAGCAGCACAACAGTTTGCCATTGATAAGATTAGAGTCACAAGAAATGTCTTATACATTTTCCCAAATCAACAAACTTATAAAAAGAAAGAAAGAAAAGAAAAAAATATTTCTTTAAAAGAAGGAAGAGATTTTTCAGGTAGTGCTGTATTACATAGTTATTTAAGTTATCCTTGAAAGGTTTATACTTTTCAATTGTATCCACATTGTCAAATCACAGAGTCCCAGGTACTGATTAAACTGATAAAAAGACAGGAAATCATGAGTTAGTATTTTCATTAAGGTAGGGGTAGGCAAACTGGGAAAGGAAGATCATCTTTCCCGCCTCAGTAATGGTGATGATTCATAATTACTCCATTAAAAATTCTGATTAGATCATGTGAAGTGAGTTTGTAGTCTCTCTTTTTATTTAAGCTTGCTGATTTCATAAATTTTTAAAGGTAAAGGCATAATCTGATGCAGATGTTTTTGCTGAGCATTTTTTACTGCAGAGTACAGTATGTAATCTACCTGTAGTTGAACTGTAACACATAATAATAATACCTAATGGTTTATTTTCCAGTATCATTAGTTAGAAGTTTATAGCTCAGATAACAAATCTCATGTTATGTTAAATTTTAAGTAGAGAAATGCACACACACACACACACACACACACAAATATAAATATACAAAACAAACTGCAGTAACATAAAAATGAAAACTGTTGTGGAATCAGAAAAAAATAAATGCTTTAAACTTTGATCATACAAGTTATAAGATGACATAACCGCTTTGTGGGGAATTGCTGGCTCTGTATAGTAGAACAGATAAGGGAAAGTGTTTGTTCTTTGTAACTCCTCTGCAACTGCTTCGCCTTGAAGATAGCAGAAAAAAAAGTATGTACAACTCTGATTTCCAGGTGCAAGAAGGGAGTGTTATTTTTCGCTTTGTCTCCCCCATAGTTCCCATCCTGATAACAGCAAAGCAGTATGAGCTGGTGTTTGTAGCTGCTTTCCTAGCAAACTCCACTATATGATTACGTGAGTTGAAAGCGACTGTTAAAAAGTATATAAGCCTCCTGATTTTGCTCGGGGGGGGGGGGGGGCATACATTAACAAGCCTCCTGATTTTGCTCTTGGGGGGGACCCCTTCCAAGTGCTTGGGAAATCCATGTCACTTTGGGGTCCCCCCTACAGCTGTAGTTTCATTTGAATAAAAAACTTCTGCTGACCTGACCCAAAAGTATGCTGCATGTGTTTCCATGACACTGTAAACCCAGAATAAAAGATACAATATCTTATCTTAAATATAGCTTTTAATCTACTGTGAAGGCTTGTCTGTCTAAGCTTTCCATGCTTTAATTGTATATATTTATTTTTCTCTTAAATATATGAGAAAAATAAATATAGAAAATTAAAGCATGGAAAGCTTAGATAAACAAGCCTTCACCTTAGATACAATATCCTATCTTAAATATAGCTTTTTATCTTTTATTCGATGTTTACAGATTTCATTTTTATGTTACTGCAGTTTGTTTTGCGGTTATTACTTGGAAGTGCTTGACAGAGTTACACTGCTGAAATACAAACACAGACTATTGCTTCCCATAAGACCACCACAGACAGAACTCCTAGCACAGTCCCCTAGGTGCAGAATCTGCAAGAGGAATTCTGAAAGTGCCGGGTTCATGGACCAGTGACCAAACAGGAATTTGGGAAAAACATTTTGAATCTGTTTCAGTAGGACAATTTCAACAAGCCCTCTCTCTTTTAGATTCCCTAACTGCAATGCTATACATTTCCACAGCATCATGCCTTTAAGGATGTAAGCCAGCAGTTCTCAACCATTTTAGACTTAAGACACTCCTCCACAAATTTCCGGAATTCAGCAGCACCCCATTTAAAAAGGGAATATAAATATAGTATGAATATCATCACACATTATATTATTAGTATGTTATCAATTCATTCTACTCCTATATTATAATATAGCATGTAATATAGTCACCCTTTCAGGGCCCCTTCTGGGCCCATGCATATTTGCTCCCA